CGGGAGCGCCGCCGCGCTTCCCAAGCGGCGCACCATCCAGTGCGCCACCGGGCCGGCCCCCATTCAAGGTTTTAATGGCCAGTAAACAACCCCATTTCTAATTTAGTACCTGTAGCCGTTCTTGTTCTTTCTGTAACATTTTTCTCAGAATTTCCACTTTCTGGTTATGAACCACATTGTTTTCCTCCTAGAAAAAGATAAAAACAATCAATTAACCAATACAGGGAAAGTGAAACCAAAATATTCGTTAAGTAGAGAAAATGAGATATACAAAGTTCTGCCTCAGCTCCAATTATAGATACCTATTAGGATTTTTATTCCTGGCAGTTTTGAGGACAGGCTTTTAAATAAAGATAAAATGTTACAGGGAAATTTCTGCTGCTCCAATTTCTGGGTTCAAGAAAACATTAAATACTGATATTACGTGGAAAAATGAAGTTGCCTTAAGTACAAAAATAGTACCTTATACTTTCTCTCCTTTGGATCTTTACTATCAATCCCCACACATGGCTCAAATTCCCAGTTACTTCTACTTGAAAAATGAAGACAGCTCCCTAACTCACCTCCCACCATCTCTCCTTCTTTCACAGCCCTATAATATTTTACTAATTAGTCTCCCTACAATCCTGTTATAATCATGTGTCACTCTCTTGCTCAAAAAATCTTTAATGGATTCTTACTGTTTATCTAGTTGCATGTAAAGTAGCGTGATAGTTGTGATTTTTCATAATCTACAGTAGATCTACTTTTTTCAGCTCCTCTCTTCCACAACGTACACATTTAATAGCACCAGCAAACCAAAGTCCTGGATAATTCCTGAAATAATGTGGTACTTTCTTGGCTCTTTATTTCCCTTTATTTTACTTCCTCTACTTGGTTTGCCTTTCTCCTCATCAACACCACTGAAATGTTACCTGTTTTTCCAGGCTCAGTTCAAATAAAACCTTTCCATTAAAGGTCTTCTTTATCATAACTGCAGTGGATTAAACGTCCCTCCCCAAACTCACTGAAGATTAATCCTCACTCAAACTGTTGAGGGTGGGAAATCTTACTATGATAATTGAAGGCAGAGCCTTGAAGACAGTTTAATGGTGGTTGTGGGTGTGGTTCAGAGGGCTTTCAAAGGAAAGGGCATGAGGAGTTCTCTATGTCTCTGCTCTATCATTTTTGGCCATGTGAGACTCCTGCTTGCTGTAGAGCCACCACCAAAAAGACACTCACCAGATGTGTTCCCTGGACTTTGGACTTCCCAGCCTCCAAAACTGTAAGCAATAAACTTCTTTTCTTATAAATTACCCCATTCAGGTATTTTACGATAAGCAACAGAAAATGGACTAATATAACAACTGAATGTGCTTTCTTCCTCCTTTGAATCCTTATAGAAGTTAATATTTTTTCCCTCAGAATGACAACATTCTGCCTTTGTATTATAACTACTTGTGTACTCTTGATTTAATAGCAATCAAAGAAGGTTTATTAAGCACCTACTATATGCCAAGCAATATTCCAGGCACCAGGGACACGAGAGTAAACAAACCAAAAGAACCCCTGTTTTCCTAAAGTATACATTCTAAGATGACTAAGGACCTTGAACATAGGATATCTTAATTATATTTTTGTGGGTTGCACATTGTTTTGTGTATGGTAGGCGTTTGACATTTGTAGAATTAAATCTTCTATGAAAATACTCTGTAATCATTCTAAATTATTATGTGATCTTTATATTAGGAAGTCATTTTCCAGAATCTTGAACTTAAGTTTATCAGCCCAATATTTCAAAACTCTTAATATAAAGCAAAGGCATCTTATACAACTGAGCATTTACTAAGAAATCTTCCTTTTACTAAGAAATCTTACCCCCATGAGCACAGGACTGGTGATTCTCTCCATATTCCCAGATGCTCCAGGTGAATGAGGGGATGTCATGATGGGAGACATATGTCCAATGACTGACGGCTCTACTTCAGAATCAGCAAGTGGAATCTGGGGCGACCCAGGTGGGCGTCCCTGAACAGTGAGAGCTACATAGGAACCAGCTTGGTTGGGGTGGGGAAACGAGAGAAAAGGAAAGAAAAATAACAGTGTCAAGAAAATTTTTATAGGATTTCTCTACTTAATCTCTGACAATTCTAAAAGATCCAGATAAGTGAGAAAGTCCCATCATCTGCTAATCATACCTCCATAAAAAAAAGAATGCATTTGTCATTTCTCTTTTATGACTGCCCTAAAAATCTAAAATAAAAATGCCATTTTCAGATAGTAAATTACTACTCATAAAACATTAATTAAAAGCAAATAAAATGTATACTCACAAAAATATATTTTCTTAAAGAAGAGTTAATATCAATCAGCTACATAGCTATGTTCAATGAATTTTTTAAATATAAATTTTTGAAATCTTATTTTAAGATGATACTAAATAGGCAGAGTTTAATTAATATTCTGAACTATAGCAATGCAATTTTAAATTAACTTTACAAAATGAGTACAACCAAAAAATATTCCTCAAAAACAGGAAAAAAACACAATAAGTAGTAAATTTTAATTGAAATAATCTGGAGAATGGACAGAAATTCTCTAGGCATATTACAGAGGGAAAAAAAACTAGACAGCAAAATTCATCATAATCAGAAAGATTTAACAACATTCATTATTTATCTAACATTGAAAAGAAATGAGATGCTCCAAAGAAATGACTTTCCTAGATAACTGACCTTTAAATGACAAAATTCAAAAGAACTTTTAATGGATTTCACACTTGTCTCCAAATTTAACCTTCCCATGGAACTCATTATTATAGTGACCATTTAGAGCACGGGTAAAGGAATTTAGGGTTGCTTAACTTAAGCAATAAAAAGGCCAAGAAAGATTTCAGTTTATTGAATTTATTCTAAAGATGTCCATCCACTCAATGAAAATAAATAGAATCAAATAAAACAGTAGTGTTTGTATTTGGCCACAAACAACTATCTCTTATTTATAGTCTACTTTACTGTGGAATAATCTGATACAGATCATCAATTTTTTCTTTTTATTGCATTCAGTTTATTTTAAGCTAATTTTTTTCCCCTTTGAGAGATATAATAACAAATACATAAGGCCTAAACCAGGCCAGAACAAACAAAAAGGAAGTTATGTTTTATGTGGTGGAATTCTCATGTGATTTTCTTTCTTTACTTCTGTAATTGTCATATAGTACCCATTCAATAAATGAAGCAATTTGAAAATATAAAATCTCTTTTGGAAAGCAGGCAGGGTTAAAGGGCAATAACAAAGTGAAACTAAGGTCCAGCGAGGGGACCTTAAAAAAAAAGTTTGCGATGGCACCCAAACTTTACCCAATTCTGAGATTTTGAAGACCCACCCCATCACCTCTTGCAAGCAAAGCTCACAGGGCCATTGAACCCTCCCTTTTTCCTGTTCAGATAGGAAAAGTGAGGCCCTGTGAGCAGTAGGGACCTGGGTTGCCCATGCCTCACTGCCAACCTGGAGGAGCACACATCCACCTTTGCCCCTGCAGTGACAGAACTGTGATTAGTTAGTTGCAGACTCCCAGTGCTCTGAGCCTCAGTTTCTCCACAAAGAGCTAAACCCAAGTGGGCCACTCACCCAAACACAAAAATCCTAAATTCTTAACCTTGAAGGTTTCCAAGAGAAGACCACTACACAGGATTATAAGATCATTTACTTATCTAAGGGAAAGTGATTGTGTTAGATGATTTTTAAACTTCCATTCCAGTTCATCAGTACACTGTTTGATTTCTCAATCTCCTGCCTCTCAAGTGACTCATGCATTTCTTTCAAATATATGTCTTCAATGTTACCAAGAATGACAAGGATACTATAATCAGCGGAATTGACAGAAGATAGCTATTAGTAAGTTAAGAGTTTTCACCTAAGACTTTCCTTTAATACAGGAGTCAATAAACTCCAGCCAAGGTGCTAAATCTGCCCCACAGACTTTTGATAAAGAAAGTTTTACTGAAACACAGCCACCCCCAATCATTTACATATTGTCTATGACTGCTTTCATGCTACAACTACAGAGTCAAGTAGTAGACCACATGACCCAGAAAGCCTAAAATATTTACTACTTGGTCTATTACAGAAAATGTTTCCTAATCCTTGCTTTAAGGATTTCAGAAAACAATTAAAACTGAGAATAACGTTCACCTACATTTGATTAGCTTCACCACCTCCAAATGGTTTGAATGAGTCACCAGAGTCCCGTTCACCTGTAATAAAATAAAAATAGTGTAAGTCAGATACAATCCACTGAAACAATGAATAAACTGAGTTCAGGAATTATCATACATAAAATAACCAATTTTAATATAATACAGTAAACAGGGCTACATTAAAATACAAGGAGTCTTCAGAAAGTTCATGTAAAGGGCCAGCCCCGTGGCTCACTCGGGAGAGTGTGGTGCTGGTAGTGCTGAGGCTGAGGGTTCAGATCCTATATGGGGTGGCCGGTGCGCTCACTGGCTCAGCATGGTGTGGACCACACCATACAGAGGGCTGCGATCCCCTTACCAGTCAAAAAAAAAAAAGTTCATGTAAACATTTGTACTATCTTTTAATTCCATTTTTCCATCTTTTTGAAGTATCCTTATATGTATATGCTTGGTTCAATATTCACTTTCACCACTATTCTATAAGATATATTCACCAACAAAATGAACTTAGACAGAAAACACCTAGATTTAGAGGACATTACAACTTACCATGACTAATGACGGAACGTATCATGAAACAGATGTAATCCTTCACAGTGAAGGACTCTTGCAAATAGAAAAGATCTCTGCTTTTAATTACCAGTTCACTGATTTGTCAGAATTATAATAAATCAAAAAAAGGAAAAAATACTTCCACAACAATACTCAATTTACTTTTAGTTTTTCATTACAAAGAAAACTAATTTTCAGACAAGCTAAATATAGGAAATGTTATCCAAAGTCTCCACCAAACCAAACAAATTAAGGTAAACATATCAGACATGGACTTAACATTTTATTTTTTTCTCTGATGCAAGTAATACTAATTTAAAGTTCAAATATATCAGCATATAAAGTAGAAATAAAAGTATACTCCCCAGAGATAATCACTGTTAGCTATGACATTTAATCTTTGAGACATCTGTCTAGCATACACGCACCAGACAAACACATATAAATACACATTGTAACTGCCTTTTTCCTGGGAAAAAAACCAAAAACTTTTTTTCATCATATTGTGGTAATCTTTCAATATAAGTACAACTAGACCTAAATCCATTTTTTTCAAAGCTGCAGATAAAATGTAATTTATTTCTCTAGCCGTCAGTTTATGCACATTTAGATTGTTTACAAGTTTTCAATGTGATAAAGCGGAAACAAATTTCCCTATACACCTATCACTTCACACTTATGTCCTTAGATAAGTTCCTAAAAGCAAAATTGCTGGTCAAAGGTTATATGCTTTCTTAAAGGCTTTTGGTACTTATACACAAATTTCCATCCAAACAGATTTTACCTCATTTATACTCGTAACAAACTTATTAGAGCAGCCATTTTACCAGACCCAAACTATGCCAAATGTGTACTACCAATCTTTAAATTTTCTGGCAACCAAATAATATTTTTCACCTATCATTTTTTTTTTTTGTCTTTTTTCATGACTGGCAACGGATCGCAACCCTCAGTGTCGCGCCCGTACCGGACCGGGACCGGCCACGGGATCGCAACCCTCGGTGTTGCTCCCGCCCCTCGTTCAGCCAGTGAGCGGCCGGTCTGTATGTGGGATCCGAACCCTCGGCGGGAGCGCCGCCGCACTTCCAAAGCGGCGCACTATAGCAGTGCGCCACCGGGCCGGCCCCTTTCACCTATCATTTTAATTTCTATTTCTTTGTTATCAGTGAGGTTGGACATATCCACATTAATATATTATTTACTTCAATCACTTTGGGAAACTGCTTGATAAAATTTTTACCCATTTTTTTCTATTAGAATATTTATTCTTAGTAATTTAAAAGTGCTCTTAACAATTAAAGGTACTGTGCTTTCTAATGTGTTTCAAATTTTTTTTCAAATTGTTTTTTGTAAAATACGTTCATGGTGTCTCTTCCTGTACTGTATAATAATTTTATTTTAAGTAATCAAATTAGTCAACTGTTTCAAGAGTAATTACTGACTAACCCATTCTTTCTCTACTGATCAGAACTCAAGGCCTATTTCTGGGACTCTACTGTGTTCCACTAGCAGGTCTGTATCTAGATTAGAGTCACATACTTTAAACTAACCCATACCATCCCCTCTCATGCACACTCAAATATATAACATACTTTTTTCTCTAGCTATTCTTATACATCTAAAGTTTATCTAGAAGAATAGTTATTTGGATAAGTAACAAAAAACCATCCCCATTCTATTCATATATTTTGAAGAGAATTTCTTGCTAACAGATTAATTTGGAAACAAATGATCTTTAAAAGAGTGAGTTAAAAAAAGGAGGGGGTTGCAGGGGCCTGGATGGTTAGTTCAGTTGGTTAAAGCATGGTGCTGATAACACCAAGGTCCAGGGTTCAATCCCTGTACAAGCCAGAAGCCAAAACAAAACAAACAAACAAAACAAAACAGTAAGTTATTTTCCTACTAAAGAACATACATGACTCCACTGATTTAATGGCCTTCGGTATAAGGTAACGTTAATTTTGTTATGCCCTTCAGTAAAGGGTAATATTAATTTTAAAACAAATAAGTTTTTATAGTCAACAATCCATCATATGTAATACGCTGCTTTTTATAAAAATACAAGTGAAAAAAGTCAGAAATGGCTAACATATGTTGTTTTTTAATACTGCCATAAATTCCATAATAGTGTTTTTCTTACCTTGATGATTCGATCACCTGTCTGTACTCCAGCCCGCATGGCTGCTCCATCTGTATGAGAAATTACTTATTTAAAATGTGACTCATTTGCATTCACTGATAATCTTCAAAGAGAGGCAGTGTAAGAAAGTGGTTAAAACATGAGCTGTAAAGTCAGACAGAATTAGGTTCAAATCCTGCCTTTGCCACTAACTAGTTGTATGGCCTCAAACTGATTTTATGTTTTTTTTTTTTTATTCTAAGCCTCAATAACACCTGTAAATTGGGGATTTAAAAAAATCAATCTATCTCAAATTACAACTCCCCAAATAAAGGAACTTTTGAATATATGGAAATGACAGAAGATATTATAACTGTCATTTTGGGGAAAAAAATTCATATCTTGATATTTTGAGCCTATAACAATCTCTTTAGTCTGTCTCTATCAAAATATTGCTGGTGCAATGAAGAAATGAAGCTCCAGAAACTTCTGTAAGTGATGATACACAAAGTAACATGACCAAGGAGTCATGATTTCTAAAACTATATAAGAATGGTTTTCTTTCTATAAAGCACAAAGAAAATTAACTGGGATAAATTCATTCCTATAAATTTGACACTAGAGACAAACCTAGCACTATGGTCCATGTGACTTGCAATCTATGTAATTATTCTATACCAGGCAATAGACATTATTTAAGCTTTTCTATTCTTACTCTGTTTGCTCCTGAGTGACAAAACTGTTTTACAAAATGTCTTGCCTTCTTTGACGGACTGTACGAAGACTGGATTGTCTCCACTGACTGTCAGCCCAAATCCATTGTCATCTTTCTGGATAATCACACAACGCTGAACAAGACCTGCACAAGAACCACAGGGTGAAGAGAAAGGGAAGAGACAACAGAGAAAGAAAAAGACAATAATTACATATTAGTAATAGACTGTATTCTGTCTGGAGAAACACAAGGTAGCACATGAAACCCATATATAAAATAAGAGCACTAGCCTCATAAACAAAACAAAAACAAGAATATCACAAAGAGTCACACATATTAATGATTTCTCACTGGAGAGGTTGAGTAGAATTGCTCCAATATTAAAAATAGCAATGGTAAACAGGAAAAGATGGAGTATTAAAAGTGAGGCAGTTAGAAGGAAAGCCCACTCGCACCTATGCTATTTATTTGTAATGTAAAATCCTCCCCCACCACCCTGTTGTTTTGGTGCCCTAATAGGTGTTTAACCCAAGAAAATAAAACATTTTAGGATGTTAGGCTAGGACACCCCATGGAAAATTCTAGAGAAATCCAACCTTATTCTCAGGAAAATATACTCAGGAAAAGACTGTAAAAAGAAAGGAGGTGTTTGCAAAGTACCTGTAGCTATTCTCCCAAGAGGGAAAGAGAAAGGGAGGAGTTCAAAGGAAAGAAAAACGCTGGGTCAGAGAAAAAATAAACAGAAAGGAAAAAAAGTGCAAAAGATAAACAACTTGCGAGCTCAACCAATTCTTTCATCTCTTTCATATACTTACCTGATTCCTACAGGAGAATCTGTTTTCCTTCTAGTTAAATGGCAAACAAAATCTCTCCAGGCAAGGTGAGAGAGAAAGGACCCCAACCAAAGGAATAAGAACGTCTCAGAGTAGCACCCTCATTAGTACCCAGGGCTGTTTTATCATAGATCAGATCTGAAGACCCTAAATTCTGTGTGAGCCAGAGACTTAATACATACTTTCAGCTTTGCAGAATCAAAGCATTTCACCAAAAATCAATATATAAAACATGTACAATAACACAAAGATAATGATGATTAGAAAATAAAAACTTTTTCTAAATAAAGACTTTTATACAAAGAGCAACATCATTTAAATAAGTCTGATGTACAAACCAAAGGATATGTTAAAGATTATATATTAATGAAATATATATTTATCTTCTTGCTGATAATGACACATTATGAGTATGTGAGCCTACTACAGACAAAAGATTGAAATAACCAGATCCCCATATAGAAAACGTGAACCTTAAACCTTGAACTTATTCCCTACACAAAAATTAACTTAAAATAGATCACTGGCCTAAACATAAAAGCTAAAACTTTTCAGAAGGAAACAGGAGAAAATCTTCAAGTCCTTAGGGTAGGCACAAATCTCTTAGGATGCAAAACATACCAACTATGAAAGAAAAAAAACTGATAAACTGGACTCAAAATGTAAAATACCTGGTCTTCTAAAGACACTGATAAGAAAATGAAAAAACAAGCCACAAATAGAGAAAATACAATACAAATATCTAATAAAAGACATGTACCCAGATTTTTTTTTGGAGGGGGTGGCTGGACAGTACAGGGGCAGATTTTATTTTTAAGAAAACAACTCTAGGGCCGGCCCGGTGGCGCACTGCGCTAGTGCGCCGCTTGGGAAGCGCGGCGGCGCTCCCGCCGAGGGTTCGGATCCCACATACAGACCGGTTCCCGCTCACTGGCTGAGCGAGGCACGGGGGCAACGCCGAGGGTTGCGATCCCGTTGCCGGTCCCGGTCCGGTACGGGGGCGACACTGAGGGTTGCGATCCGTTGCCGGACACAGAAAAAGACAAAAAAAAAAAAAAAAAAAAAAAAAAAAAAA